TTATATGAAATTTTATATTTCTTGGAGGACATAAACTCGTTGGTCTCTTCATACCACGAAAGCAACGAAATTTTAACCCCCACAAACAATATAGATTTTACAGTAAATTGATCGAGGCATGTAGACTTGACAAAGATGGCAGTCAAGGATGTTACATCATTTGGTGTTAAAAAGCCTAATTTCTGTGACTTTGATAAGGTATAAAATTGCCCTTTGTTTCAAGGATGTTACATCATTTGGTATTTGACCTTAGATCTTCAAGTATCCTTAGTCATTCAATTATATTTAGGCTGAAAATTCTGCGTCCATTCTTTTAGAGGTTTGAAAGAAAAATGGCCAGCTGGTGAAAATTAAAAAAAAAGTACTCCATCAAAATATTTACATGCACATGCATTCAGAAAGAATTTAGTAAGTCTGTACCGGATCATTAAAACATAATACTTGTACATGTATTACGTTCGTCAAATTGATGAGGAATTCTGATAAACGGGATATTCTCCAGATTATGCTATGGAACATATACACCTAATCTCTACAAAAAATAATCAAAAATGCCAAAATGATAGCATGCATCTTAATTTTACAAAGACGTGTGTACAACATTTATGCAATCAGAAGTTAGAAACTTATTCTCCATTCATTATTCACTTTTCAATTTAGCAAATTCTAATCTGTGGTGTGTGTACAATTCAAACTACAGTAAGTGTCGTAGTAAATAATTTATCGAAAAACTTATTTTCCTCAATTTAACATATTTAGGAAAAAGGAATCAAAGACCTCATTTAAAAACAAGACACGGAACCCCAAACCCATTAAGCTAGCCCGGCCAAAAATGGAAACTATATATTACTGTTATAAGAAAAACCTAGTAAAAGAGGATAAACAACATCCAGAATTCCATATTTCGACTGCATCTTTGGTCAGGGGTCTTGGACAGACAAAGTGGCTATTCAAAGGAATTGACTTTCCAAGAGCTGCAATTTCTGTTTCTAGCTCGGAAAGAAATGGTGAGAGTGCTTATAATACTAGTATAAGAAAACTTAATACAAGGAGCTGGAGAAGGTCCATCATACCAAATTTCGACGCTCATTTTTGGTCAGAGGTGAGGTCTGGGATTGACTAGTTGACCGTCAAAAGAAATTGAGTTTTCAAGACCTGAAATCACTATAGCTAGCTCTGCCAAAAATGGTGAGAGTAAGTATAATACCGTTAGATGTATAAGGGAACATAATACAAGGGGCTGGTCAACATGCAAAATCCCATATTTCGACCATTATCTTTGATCATGACTGGGGTCTGTGACTGATCAGTTGACCGTCAAAAGGAGTTGAGTCGAAGACCGGGCTATTTTTAGAGCTATTGAGGGTCAACTGGTCAGTCCCAGATCTTACCTCTGACCAAAGATGGTCGAAACATAAGATTCTGCATATTATCTCGCTGTTTGTACTAGGCACCCCTTATAACAGTATCAAATGCACTGCCAAAATTTTGGACGTGTTAGCTTAAGAGTCAGTGGCATACCTTGCCTTTTTTTTGTAAGCGAGACCTCTCATTTGCTCTTTCTACATGCGTTAATTTAGTTTTTTCAAAAAAAAAAAAATAATAATAATAATAAAAGTAATTAGGATACTTTTGGTAATTTAAAAAATGTACCAATCACAGAATAGGGTTCGCTGTTTGAATAGTGAAAAACAAATTCTAACTTCTGATTGCCTAAAAGGCACTTCATTTGATAAACGTTAAAGTTATATATGATATATGGTAAAACTTCTACAATTTTTCTAAACTTATTTCTAAAATCTCAATTTATTTTCAGTCTTTGAATTTTGTTATTAAGTCTAGATTATTAAAGTGAAATATTTTTTTGCATTTGTGTTAAGAACTGCGAACGACAGTATTGTTCTGCCGCCTAACTTCAAGTCAATTTTCGAAAGTTAACATATTTGAATGATTTTTTTTATATTTATATAGATATTTATGTGAATTTTCATAAAACATAACTTATTTGGGAAAACAAAGAGAGATAACACTTTAATTTTGGTAAAAGGTGTTTTTCACTATAGAATTCAGCGGAAAAAGGAAAATATTTTTAAAACACCCTCCTCCTCCATGAAACGAAAATTCTTTTTTTACGGATATTATAATCATGAATTGTAATTCAACATATTCATACCATAGCTTTTATTGTTTCACGGGGGATGGGGTGGGGGCAAATGTTTACAGACAAAAAAAAAAAAAAAACAAACAAAAAAGGTCATGTTATTACCAATTTCAAATGAGATTACAAATAAAAAATAAATATACTTTATCAATCTTTTACGTTGAATTTTACATAAGTAATATATACGAAAAGCGTTAGGGTCATTTATCCATTTCAATGCATATTTGAAAAATCAAATCTATTGATGATTTAAAGCCTGATTTCAATGGATAAAGTTTTCTACCCCCCTTATAAAAACAGTTGTAAAAAAGAGTAATTAACTTTTTGACACTGGATTTAAAATTATTAATCAAGTTAACCGTCAATTGAACGCTTTTCACTGAGTTGACCATTAGTTGAATGCTAATACTTTGGAAATTTCATGCGGGAAAAGAGTTGACCATTGTTGATCACTCCGACTTTGTGAGATCTTGCAGAGTTGACTATAGTTGACCACTCAGTGTTAGAAAATCTCTCTGACTCTATTTATGTTGGGTTTGAAATGACATTATCATAGTTCGGGTTTGCAATTCAATGAAGTATTACAACAATCTAGATTTGAATCAAGAAACACGTGTCAGTGTGTGTTTTGTTAGAAAGTGGAGAATTTTGCTTTGAAACAAGTGTTTTCAGCTTGTGCAATCCATGTGAATATAATATTTAAAAGATATTTCTTTTTTTTATATTTTTTCTAAAAGATATTAGAAAGACATAATACTGTAGCCAGTATAGGTTCCTACTATTGTGCACATGTACTTGTTAAAATATTAAAAGAATTCCGATAACTTGTCCTGCATCAAGTGTTTTGTTGTGTTTTTTATTGTGCTGTTGGTAAGAATATGCCATTACTTTAGACTAAATTTTCTTTTTCTGCACAGAAAATAAAGGAGGCATAGCAACTTGAGAGAGTGTGCCAGCTCAATTTAGTTTTATTGCTTTATAAACACAAATGCATATAGATGTATATCATTTCAGTAGTCCCATTGTTTTGACTTTTCCTACTCATAGACATGGCAGCTTTTCCAAGCACACGTTTACTCACTGTACTGCTTGCCTTAGGTTTTCAAAACTCCCTCCATTTTTTTTAAACAATGAAACATGCACTGACTAATGGAGTATTCAACAGTGGTCAACTGCAAAGAAAATAGAGGAGCCTTCAACAGTGGTCAACTGCAAAGAAAATAGAGGAGTATTCAACGAATGGTCAACTGCAAAGAAAATGGAGAAGTATTCAACTAATGGTCAACTGCAAGAAAACAGAGAAGTATTCAACTAATGGTCAACTGCAAAGAAAATAGAGGAGTATTCAAATAAAGGTCAACTGCAACGAATATATAGGAGCATTCAACAGTGGCGAACTATAAGCAAATGAGTTGAACGCTCCCTCAGATGCATGGCAAAAATTCAACTAATGGTCAATAGACGGTCAATTGATCGTCAATGAACCGTCAACTGAATACTCCGATTGAATTCTAATAGTATATATTCGTATGGGTTAAGTCTCAATGGTCAAAACGCCATTAATAATGAATTAAATGGGTGTAAAATGTGGGCAGGAATCAAAAGTTAGTTTTTGTAGCTCTTTGTATTAGGGAACAATTTACATCAGTAAAGCGATATACATCTCACTAACATTTATGATATTACTTAAGATGTATTTTAGAAGTTTCCATTTCACAAAACAGCAGGACGCCAGTTGTGTTTTTCTCCAAAATTAATCTGTTGTTCAGTGCTCACCCACAGAAAAAAGAAAAGGTTTTTATCGACATAATATTTTTTTTTATTAGCAGCCATATAGAGCATATAGATTAAGATATTTCATACGAAGATAATTAAAAGACACTGAAGTGTCCATGATGTATCTGCTTATGCCTATAAAATCACCAGTTAATATCTCAAAAATGCTTTAATGCGGTAATTTTATAGCCTAGGTACCTGCTGATGGTCAGTTTGTGATTCATACTAGAGATGTTGTTATCTGTGTGAGTGGCCACGTGATTTATGACTGTATATCATAATGGCACACTAGCCGAGAACATCTGAGTGTCCTTTTGAAAGTTCAATCACAAATGTTTTCACTCACGGTTCGATTTTATTTGCTCCCTTTGCAAAAAGGAATTTGAAGGAGAAAAAAATATTTAAAAATGTTCTTGATCTATTGAAAATTAAGTTACTTGAACAGTGCAAATAGTTACCTCCACCGAAAGAAAAGAGGTAAGATAGATTTTCTATAGTTCTATTGCCGTCCATCCTTCTTAAAAAAGTTGCAGTGAAACTTCCTTATACTTCAATATTTTCATAGTAAAATGTCATTACATGTATATTCAAATTTTTCAGTAAAGGAAACTCTACATTTATTGATAATATAGTAAAAAAAAAATTACTACGAGGAATTTTTTCACAAATAGAAATCACCAAAATCTAACTTTGAGAAGTCAAACACTTTGCCAAAAGTAGCTCCGACCTAACGTGATGAATCAGGCATGACTCGAGGTAAAAGGCTTTGTTCTCTTTAATAAATGGTATCCACCATATGTAAAAGAAAATGAATTCTTAGATCACTCAAAATGCCGCTTTCCTTTTATCTTATCGCGTCCACCCACCCCCTCCGATTATTCATCATTTCCATTTAATATATTTTTGTTTTCCAAGTTCTCGTCGTCTAAATAAAAAAAAGAAAAACATAAAGAAGATCTGATATTTTAACTGAGTAAAAGCAACTTGTAAAATAAAATCCTATGGCTAGATTTAGTTTTCAAATATATTAATATATGCATAATTGCTTTAAAAACGTCTGGGTTAAAGGTATAAAATTTGTGCAATCTTTTCAGAAGAACTAATGTTATAATATTTTTCATAACTCTGCATTTTATTTCTAAATAAACATATATATACATACATCACTGAATATCTCTTATACTTTGAAAGAAGAGACCGATGATTGTGAAAATTTTATCATGCATGGATAACTGCAAAAATTATCCAAGAAAGACCCGTGACCTTATTCTCATTCAGACCAGGTCAGTTAAAAAATTTAAACTTTTATAGTGTCATTGTACCTCATACCAAATGCTTTGTTCAACAAGTAAATGATATTGCCTCTCCATTGTAGCCATAAAAGTTGGCTTACAGCGTTTTCATAAATATATCCATCTATCCATGCTCTGTTGAATGTAAAGAATATTTTGAATAAGATGTATAAGAGTGGTTATTGGTCCTTTTTTAAACGTTTAAATTCGCGCGCGATGTATGGGATTCAGTTGCAGATGATGAACTTCATATTCCTGCTTCCGTTTGCTCAGGTATACGTAGACATGCATATGATTGAATAGCTTTTATCCAGTATTTAAAACATTTATGAAAACGGAGTGCAGAAGCAACATAAATAAGTGGACTCATCACAGCATTTAGTAACCAGGCCAGTTGTGCAACAAGAAGAAACTTTTCCTCTTTGTTTTTAGATCCATATAATGATAAGATGTAACACACAAGGAAAATAATAGCCGATGACACGTACGCGATAAGAATTAATGACGTCACAAGGGACATCTTGATAATGTTGTGTTCAATATTGTGTTTACTCAATGTGTGCTTGAGACGATGTATCTTCTTTACGTGGAAAATAATAATGAGCAGGACAGGAACAATAATAAGGTAAACACGAAATACTATTATCACATAACTAGGTGTCTGTATTCCTGCTTTGTATCGTAGAACAAAATAAAATGTCGAGAATAATATGCTTAGGACCCATATTGCAGCAGATGAGACGATAATTGTTCGCTTCCGTAACTGATTGAATTTTACTGGCTCCGATACCATATAACACCGAAGTCCAAATAGAAAAACCACGTGAGCAGCAGAGGTATGAGCAACGACATAAAAAACAATCAGAAAGGTTGCACATGGGACTTTTTCAAGACGAAAGTTATCAAGCTCAAACCCAGCATGAACAAGGTAAAGAATCAAATTCACAATATCTGTGAATATTATGGTTCTGATGACAACAAATACAGTCTTGTTTTATTTCTTCGTTGTAATCTGTTTTGTTTTGACTTAATATGAAACCCATAATTAAGCCCATAGTTCCAAGTGTACCATTTACACTGAAATAGAAGTAGTTTCAAATAAATATTTTCAGTTTCGATAAAAAGTGTGAATACAAATAATTAGTAATAACCTTTGATAATTTTCTTCTTAACAATTTCTATAATTCAGATGTAATTAAAGGGAAAAATAAGTAAATTTAATCCAAATTTAACATAAACTTTAAGTTAATTAACCTACCTCAAAAATCCAATCATTATGTCTGTTGTTTAAAGTGTTGATATCATTCACCTCTCTTTAAATGTGGATTACTAATGTTTTGAATACAGAGAGCTGTATCACAGAGCAGTCTCTATCGCAGATAAGATGCTCCCCGAAGCATGTTTCTCCATGTGGTGTTCACCAAATGTCTTATCATCTGAATTAAAATATTCAAGAGCGAGACCAAAAAAAAAAAAAAAAAAAAAAAAAATCAATTTCTAATTTCATATTGTCGTTGTTTATTGGTCAGAGTGATTTTACTTCTAGTGGTAAAAGTGTAATATAGCGATTCTGGCTTGTGTTTAACGTACACCAATGTCTTCTTTACATGAGTATCTGCGAAATGTATTAACCTGTGCGATATTTATGTAATATGGCTTAAATTATTTATCTGCGATGCCAAAGGCAATACTATTTGGTGCCATTATCAAAGATCGTAAACATGTAAAGCTTTCCTTTGATATTTCGATGAAACGTAACCTTTTTTTAAATCCTCTGCATCATTAATATTTTGCAAATCACAAACGAATGATGGTAATTTTTGAAATTAAAGTACATGTATTTAAGTTATATTTCCTTTTAAAGATCCCATTTCAAAACTAGAATAAATAAAAATCAACAATTTGAGTTTAAAGGAAAAATACTAGTATTTGATTGATTATAGTAAAACTTTGATTAACTCTAGCAAGATAATTGATTTTTAAAATAGAAAACTTAACACATTGATTTACTAAGCGAAAAACTTCGACATACTATATTAAACAGTTGCTATAGTTAACTGTAGTAAACCATAGTTTACTGTATAAAACTACAATTAACCATGGAAAGCATTTTTACGATGAGTTTGAGCTGTATATCTGAATTTTGTAGGGTCCAGTTTTTCTGTCACATAGTTGGTAAAAAGTAAAGCATCTCCTCTACTCCTGAGTATCTAGCAGACAAAATGTTGGCAGAAGTGAAATAGGCAAGAAGCTCCCTATAAAATCCATGACCTCTTCAAGAGTCGAGGTCCTGGTGATTTGCTTCTTTTATTACAATCATACTAAAATGTACATTTTAGATATTAATTTTTTATTTAATCTGATGGACAAATATTTGCACTACTATACAAAACAACTAGCCAGTACTCGGCTTTCAGAGAACATGACCGAGGACTCGGGCTTTTTGGCATAGTTAAGAGGGTATAAATCAAGGTTTACAACTTTTTATGGAGAAACGTTGAAATCAGAACTTTGGCACAGAGTTAGATTATGATCTTAATCTATGGACACTAACAAGATTTCTTGGGATTTGAAATGCATAACGTGATTCAAAACATTAGAAGCTCACAGAACTTTGGCACAGAGATAGATAATGATCTTAAACTATGAACAGGAACAAGATTTCTTGGGATTTGAAATGCATAACGTGATTCAAAACATCAGAAGCTCACAGAACTTTGGCACAGAGATAGATTATGATCTTAAACTATGAACAGGAACAAGATTTCTTGGGATTTGAAATGCATAACGTGATTCAAAACATTAGAAGCTCACAAAACAAAACTTTTGATTTTAAGGCATTGGAGGTGTTAAATTCATGTTTGTGCCTAAATTTTGTAGAAAATTTGTTCCAGTGGGTCTTGTTATGAGATGCATGTCTTTATTCCTGGTTATATCTTTGTTAATTTTGATTCTCTTTGATAATGTTCAAAAAGAATTATATTTCATCCAATCGCTGCCTGAAAAAACCCCTCAATATTATCTCTGAAATAGATCATAAGTTACCCTTTGCTTTCAACTGAGTCATTTTGAAGTAATGATCTGTTTAGAATGGTTTATGATGTAATGCGCACTTTGAGAGACGCCTTGTGGAATTTGTCTACTAACATATTTAACTATAGGAATGTACATGTGTAAACTGCCACGCTACACAAGCTAGCAATGTAATTTCTTCCAACAACAGTTACAATTACTGTAAGTGTACGTTAACATTCTTTCTTTACACCAAATTGTACTGCTGCTTGCATGAACAAAAAACTCACAAATCATAATTTTGTACTAAATTACTATCTAAATTCAAATTTATAATATAATAATTAAATATAACAGGGTGTTAATTTTCTGAAAAGATCATTAAGCGTTTATATAAATTAATGAAATATAGCTAAAGAGCGAAATTGTCGTATACATTTTATTATTGTCTTTTAATTCCGACATTTCTTCAAACAAAGCAATGAGCTCTATATTAGTGCTTGAGTTTTTTAGTTTCTCTTTCTATTTTATTTATTCATTAATTTTACGTGGGTGAAGGCTAGATATATGCATTATTATGCAAATAATCTAATTAAAATGCCAAAGGACTATATCTTTTATACAGAGAAAGTTGACACTTGTTGTCGAATACGTACTTGTACACACGACATGATATCGCCAGTACATATTATGGCGTCATATTATGACGGCAATTATTCTGTACTACACATGATTATAAAAGACATCAACAAAAATGCTTCGGCGCAAGGGCTTGCTCTATTTTATTTAATTGAAACAAGGTATATTTAGAAGCAAAATAGGATTGCTGGTATTGCTGCACAAATATCAACAGCTCAGTTGTTTAATTACTTTTTGTAAGTTTTAAGTTCAAACAGGGTAAAAATGTACAGTGGGTATAATTTTCCTTGAATTCTGATCAATCAGAAAATCCCTAGGATTTGTGCAGCAGTTTTATTAATCTATATAATATTCTTCTTAGCATTATACAACTTTTATGTAAAATTAAATAGGGTAATCCCTTGCGCCGAAGCTGTTTTGTTGATGTGCTTTTAAAATTTCCTCCAGTAGGTAAGAACAATAATATATATATATATATATATATATATATATATATATATATATATATATATATATATATATATATATATATATATATATATATATATATATATATATATATATATATATATATATATATACACTTAACAAAACTTCTAAGTGTTCACTCTAATAAAAGTATTTATTTAAAAACTACAAGATAGAATGGTATGATGTTTTCAAATTAGTATAACCAACGAGTCTTCTCAACAAATGTTGAAAGAAAATCAATTATCACCGATGAAAACCAATGTACCGTGACGAAGCGTAAAAACAATAAATCTGTATTTTGTGGCAAGTGTTTTGTGTGATCAGCATCTTTTTGTGACCATTTTCAATTTTTGAAAACTGGTTTAACTAAAAAACACAAATCATTGGCAAAATGACCATTGAGAAAGGAGGGAGAGCCGTTGGAATGTTGTTATCCGGATCATCCTTGCACCATGTTTTACTCACTTTTATTTTAGTGTTTACTTGTCTTTGATATTACTTTTAAAAATTAACAACAAGTATAAAAACCCATTTAAACACTTTTTTCTATAAGTTCTGCGTCATTTTCATCGCCAACTTTTCACAATTTGAAAGTTTTGGACAAAATTTCATCAAACCGGAAGTGATCTGGATCTTCGTCTGAGGCCAACGTTTTGCATCACAACTAGGTTTAAAGTTTGTTACATTGTCCTAAAACAATTTTAGAAACATTAAAACAAACGACTTAAATGGTGAGAAAATGATAAGAAATTGGTGCTGGTGGCAGTCTAATATCATCTCAAACAGTCTGAATCATCCTTAAAGAGGTACACTTACGTGCGAAACGCCCAAGAATATTGACCAAAAGGTATCTGTGATGATGCACTGTCAAATTCCCGGATCTGAATCCTATTGAATACATTTGGGATTTTTGTCAGGAATGTCAAAGCACGCCCCCCCCCCTCCACACAATTTCAACGGTTTAGAAAGATCCATGCAGTAGGTGTGGCAGCAGATGGGTCAATATCCTATTCAGGGGTACATGGTATCCATGAGAAAAGAATATGCCTTGCAGTAATTTAAGCGAATGGTGGTCTTATTCCTTAGAGATTATTTTATGTGAATTTTCATTTTGAGGGTACATCATGTCCTTGACACTTTGCTTAAAATTCTGACGAGATACTTACACGAAATTTACGCAACATCGAACTGAAATATGCATCATTAACCATGAATTAAAGAAATTATTTATTATATGCATTTGTTTTTTAAAACTTAAAAAATGTTAGGTGAACACTTAGAAGTTTGGTTCAGTGTGTATATATATATATATATATATATATATATATATATATATATATATATATATATATATATATATATATATATATATATATATATATATATATATATATATATATATATATATATATATATATATACATATATATATATATATATATATATATATATATATATATATATATATATATATATATATATATAATATATATGTGTATGTATATATGTATATATATATATATATATATATATATATATATATATATATATATATATATATATATATATATATATATATATATATATATATATATATATATATATATATATATATATATATATACTAACTATAACATAACGTGGGTACTAAGTATGTATAAGAAAATTAAACTTTTCTCTAAATAATAAATATACCTCTTATCCATTTTTATTAGCTCATTTGCTTAGAAACGCCTATACCTAGCCTTAACTCGCATGTATAGGGATTGCAACAGTTAGCCAGTCATGCAACCGACTGTTTGGTCAGGAAAATCGTAACCAGTCACAATTTTCATAACAGGTCAGTCGATATATATATATATATATATATATATATATATATATATATATATATATATATATATATATATATATATATATATATATATATATATATATATATATATATATATATATATATTAGGGATGGGAATTTGTAACCGATTAACCGATTACTCGGTCGGAACGATTTTAATCGGTTAGAAAATCTGTAATCGGTTAGTCGGAAAAGATAATAAATAGTAAATTTGAACGCAGTTATTCAAAATTCATTCTTAAAGAAGACTCCTGTGCATAAACGTTAATAATTTAGGATTTCGATGTATCTGTTTAGCTGATTCGGTTGTAATTTTGGTTTTCCGGATTGAGATCGAGGGATAATTGGTCAGTTTGAGAAGTGTTAATTACTGGTTAAACATCCTGTCGATACCGCGACTATCCTGTAATTCTTTAATGACACTAATTAAATCGCCGTTGGGCACTGTGAATTGGTATGTCTGTCTTTTGCAGTCATCTTTCAAATTATATTATTAAACTAACATTGTAAATTATGAGAAAGTCCTGACTTAGTTTTGATTTTGTTGACAATGCGGAATATATTCTGCTCTGCAAAAATATCAATTTCACAGTCTGATTTCTCGGGCATGTTTCGTGGGGTTTCTCTCTTTTTTTTCTATTGGAATTGAAATAAAATATATGTACTAGTATATGTAGTTTCCTGAACAAGGTAAACAGAATGCTTCTAACTTCTAAAGTCTTTTTAGTATTCTTGTGTATATTGATAGAGTTAAAATATATTAATATATGTCAAGAAAATATGACATTGTATTTCAATACGATTAACGGGTTAATCGATCGGAACGTCTTGCGGTTAACCGATTAGCCATTCTGTATTGGATTGCCATCCCTTATATCCCTTTTATATATATATATATATATATATATATATATATATATATATATATATATATATATATATATATATATATATATATATATATATATATATATATATATATATATATAAAACTTTAAAAAACTTTTTCTAAAAACTTTGATGTGGCATGGAATCTGAAATACTGCAAAAACAAATTTCTTTATAATTAGTAAAAAATTAAATTTGTTTTAACAAAATTGACAACTTGTTATATTGAATTCAAAATTATTTTTGAAAGGTCATAAATTGGCTTCCGTAATATGTTGACGAGACATAAAAAAATAAGGCAATGAACAAGTTATAACACAGCAAGTGTAGACGTCTATACGCTTCCGTAGAGATGATCCAACGTGTAAAATAAATCCAAACCAACCATTAACATGTAATGCTTATTGTATGTATGCATTCTTCTGATGAGTGGGATGTTATTTTGTAAGTAAGTAATTTTTATGAGGTTTGTCGATGCCCTGGATGATGATTTTATTATCTTATACATAATTATTTAACCAAAAACATATGTGTCATGTGCCTTCTTTAGTTAATCGTTCAATATCTATTGCTAAAAATGGAAGACACTGCCAAAAAAGAATTTTTTTTTTAATAAAAAAAAATTATTGGATAAAGTTGTCTAGGGTAGCAATAGACGCATGCATGTTTCCTTAATCTAGAACGCACTCTTTGTGAAGATAGATTTCATTCTTAATGAAATAATATGGTTCTAAAGATTTGCAGAATTTTTTGGATTTTTTTCCTTCTTGTATTTCATAATAGTTATTAAAGTTTAAATAATACATTAAAACATCTACAGGAATGATAACAGAGTGTACTTAAACAATTATTAACTTTCTTGGCTCCTTTACTAAAATATACGACAGTGTTTATATACGAAGGTTGTTCATGAAGTTCGTACACATATGCTATAATTTTATTAATAATGACCACACTGCCAAATGTATCTGACATTTTTTTGATATAGACCATGATTTAGAAAATTATTTAAAAAAAATAAAAAATCAATACACACTATTTACGAAGGATATTATGTATAAATAGATTGTATATGCAAGCAGCACAACCCAGTCTGACGCTAAGCTAGTTTCATGATAAAGTCAAAATTATGGATTTTGAATTTTTATCACATATTTGTGGACACGCGCCATTTTTTCTCTATCATGCCACACTGCTAAGTATGTATAATAATATTTACATATAGACCATAATTGAGAACTTTTTTTTAAAAAAATTCAAAACAATATACGATAATTTACGAGCGTCATCAGTATAAACACTTCGTATAAACGGGCCGCACAGTCAGTCCGAAGTTGCTATAGATTTATAACAATGTCATGAATAGGGATATCATATTGTCATCAAATAACTATAGTTTTCCACTTCTATAGTCTCTCAAATTGTACACGTTGAAAAATCGTATAAATCAATTTCAAATCTATGAACTTAATATATTCCAATGATTTCCAGTTGTTTGAACAACTAATCTGTCTTTGACGCGTCGTTTCAACCGACCGTACTAAAACATAATTTTATGATTCGACGCTGTTCCATTGGATTGGCCAATGTTGCTTTTTCTCTCAATTTTTGAAACACAGTTATTGCAGCTTTTTCTTAATATTTTCACAATTTGTCCAATAAGCGATACTAAAATTATCAGAAAATGACGACAACAGCTTTATTTGAGACACATTTAATTTCTATTAAGTTTTGGTTTGTTTTATGAAGACAATAATCAACAAACTTTTCTGGATTTTCATAAGATATTTTGATATGTAATAAGTATATCTAGAACTATTCACTTTGATAGAAACGTCATGGTCTACGAACTTTATGGACCTCATTTAAATGGACAGTCCTCGTACGTATATATTTTACATCGACGTTTTCGTATATTTTTGTGTTGTATATACGGAATTATTTAATGAAATATATGGAGATAACGAACAGTATTCAGGCTCAAAAGTTCATCAAACAATACAAAATAGGAGCAGAGCAAACACGGACCTCCAAACATCAGAGGGGGGATCAGGTGCCATGGAGGAGTGAGCATCTCCTGCCGACCGCTCACACACGCCGTGTGCTCCTTGTCATGATCCGGAAATAACGGCTTAACAATTAGTATGAAAAACGTAAGTCAGCATTTGACTCAATGATAAATTGTATTTGCTGACAAGGTCATTGTATCGACCATAGAACTTACGAAATGATGACTTTAAACGAGACAGCTGATATTCTTGTTTCATCAACTTGTTTGTCAATAATTTACCTCGTTTTAGAAATTGTACATACGTAGAGGATGCTCTTGCGTATCGAATCAACTGAGAGATATATACCCGGTATGCAGGTGATAAAGGTATATTGCTGTATAAGTAAGGGAAGTTGACTATTGAAAAATTAAAGTCATCACGTTTATCATAAAGCTTGGTTGTTGGATTACCATTAACGTCTTTTTCAAGTAAAATATCCAAATATGAAACAGATGTGTCAGACTTTGTGGTATCTTTTATCTCAAGCTCACCAGGATATATCGTATCGACATAAGAATGGAGTTAGCCATTGTTAATTGACAATACGTCGTCGATATATCTAAATGTCGAGCTGAAGGCCACAGTAAGTGTTTTCTTCTTTTCACGTACAAGATTTTGGACAAATTCTGCTTCATATAAATACAAAAAAGGTCTGCTAATAACGGGGTTAATAATTGGTACCCATGGGAATTCAAATAGATTGTTGGAAGACCTGGTCTCCAAAATCCACATAGATATTGTCAATCATTGTCAATCAGAAACTCAAGCATCTTTTTAATATCAACTTCAGAGTACTTGTGTGTACAATCAGAATGTTTTTTAACAAAATAATTTTGCAAATGACCAATGGCAAGGTAAGTAAATTTATGAGTTCCATTTTTATTGAAAAAAGCAGCTGTCAATGATATCAAAAAGCCTTGCCTTCAATTTATCGTGGGGAATGGTTGTGTATAAAGTTGAAAAGTCGTAAGTTTTTAATATCCATAATGAATACTCTAAGTAAATTCATTCAAAACACAGTCGATTTAAAGCACCTGAGATATATATATATATATATATATATATATATATATATATATATATATATATATATATATATATATATATATATATATATATATATATATATATATATATATATATATATATATATATATTTGTGTGTTTAAAACCCAGTGTGATATCAGTTGATGTCATTAGTGTTTTATAGGTGAAAGGTTTATTATATTTTTGCCTGCTGTGCTTGTGAAGTATCCCGATTCTACACTTGATTTTTAAGCACCTGATTAGCTTAAAAAGAACTGGCGTGCATTGCAAAATATGAACTTAATTGTTTTAGCATGTTTGGAAAACTTGAGTGACATTTGGAGAATCAAGGATATCCCAACATCCCCGGACCCCCCAAAAAGTTCACTCGGGTTGCACGCATTAAGCGATTCTCAAAAATAAGCATTATTCTCACCAGCTTAATTACTCCCCACAAAGACAATAGTTGCAAATCACAGCCATTCAACTCTAAAACTTATTAAAATAAGGATATGGGTGTCCTCTCTTGTCTTGAAGATCAATGAAATTAGATATAATGAAAGTGGTTTTAGATTGAGAAATTTTGAAAGGTCGAAATTCTTCCCTTGCTGGCGACATATTTGTCTAGTTTTTTCCAATTCCTTTGAATAAGTGAAATACTCTTTTCAGAAGCGGCTATCGATAATATATATCGAATCTAGTACAAGCACTATATAAACCTAGTACTAGAGGCTAAGCAACATCCAGAATTCCATATTTCCACTCCATCTGTGGTTAGGGGTTTTGGACTGACTAAATGGTTGTTAGAAGGAATTGAGTTTACAAGAGCTGCAATTTCTATAACTAGCTCGGCGAGAAATGGTGAGAGTGTCTATAATACTAGTATAAGAAAACTTAGTACAAGGAGCTGGACAACATCCACAATCTCAAATTTCGACCCTTATTTTTGGTCAGTATTTCGTCTGGAATTGACCAGTTGACCATCAAAAGAAATTGAGTTAACAAGACTTTTGATCTCTATAGCTAGCCAGGCCAAATATAGTGGGAGTGCGTATAATATTGTAATAAGGGACCATAGTACTAGGGGCTGTACAACATGCAAAATCCCATATTTCAACCGTTATCTTTGATCATGCCTGAAATCTGTGACTGACCAGATGACTTTCAAAAGGAATTGAGTTTACAAGACCTGAAACCCCTAAAGCTACCCGGGCAAAAAATAGTAAAGAGTGCGTATACTAACGTCATACGGGAACTTCGTGTAAGTTACTGGACAACATAGAAGAAGGGGGCTGAATAGCATCCAGAATCCCATGTTTCGTTCTTCATCTTTTGTCAGTGCTAGGTCAGGGATTGACCTGTTGACCATCAAAAGAAAGTGAGTTTTCATGACCTAAAATCACTATAGCTACATGTATCCCGGCTAAAAATGATGAGCGTGAGTATAATACCATTACATGTATAAGGGAACATAGTACAAGGTGCTTGACAAAATACAAAATTCCATATTTCGACCGTTATTTTTTATCATAGCTGGGGTCTGTGACTGATCAGTTGACCGTCAAAAGGAATTGAGTCAAAGACCACTATGTATAGACATTTCATGTATTGTAAACCTAATTTCTTTTGAGGGTCACTTGGTCAGTCCAAAATCTCACCTCTAACCAAAGATAGTTGAAATGTCTTTATTATGTAACTTAAACCTTTCATTCGCTTTTCCTACATGTGCTGAGTCAATTAAGTATTTCCAAAAATATTAAATACGATGTTTTCGGTAATTTGAAAAGTGTACCAACCACATAATAGGGTCCCTATTCAAATAAAGAAATTCGAACTTCTGATTGCCTAAAAGGTACTTCGTTTAAAACGTTAAAAGTTATATGATACCGTATATAGTAAAACTTATACAAGTTTTAAAAACTTATTTTTAACATCCCTATTTGATTTCAGTCTTTGAATTTTGTTAGTAAGTCTAGTTTATTAAAGTGAATTTTTTTGCATTTGTATTAATTTTGTATAAGTGAACAATTTACATGATTAAAGCTATATAACATTTATGATATTACTTAAGACGTATTTCATAAGTTCCCATTTCACAAAACAGCAGAACCCAGTTATGTTTTTCTCCAAACTTAATCTGTTGTTCTGTTCTCACCAACGGAAAAAAGCAAACTTTTATCGACATCATACATATTTTTTAGTAGCAGCATATAGATTAAGATATTTCAAACGAAGATGATTAAAAGACACTGAAGTGTCCATGATTTATCTGCTTATGCCTATAAAATCACCATTTAACATCTCAAAAATGCTTTAATGCGGTAATTTTACAGCCTAGGTACCTGCTGATGGTCAGTTTGTGATTCATACTAGTGATGCTGTTACCTGTGTGAGTGGCCACATGATTCTATGACTATCATAATAGCACATTAGCCGAAAACATCTGCGTGTTCTTTTGAAAGTTCGATTACAAAATGTAAGCAGCTATGTTTTCACCCACCTTATGATTTATGTTTTCCTCCCTTTGGAAAAGAGGAAGAAAAGGGGGGAAAAAAGAGTTGTTAGAAAATTTGTCTTGCTTTATTGAAAATAAAGTTACTCGAACAGTGAAAACAATTACCTCCACCAAACGAAAGAGATAAGATAAATTTTCTATAGTTTTATTACCGTCCATCCTTCTTTCAAAAAAGTTGTAGTCAAACGTTTTATCCTTCAATATTTTCCTGTAGAGTACCATTACATGTACATTGTATATCTAAATTTTTGTAAAAGAAACTCGATATTCGTTCTCACCTGAGTTAAAGGTAAACTATCACTCCATCATTACTTATAGGTTTGTTTCAAATTAACCACAAGTTTCTGTATTTATTTAACGTTTCTTAAAAGTTTGCTTTCCCACTAACTGGAAATCATGGATCACATCTGACCATAAAAGCTTTTACTTAAATATGTGTGTAATCTTTTCAGAAGTTAAGAATTGAAATAACTGTATATTTTTCATAACTCTACATTTTATTTTTCAATAAAAAAATATATACATATAACACTGAATATTTCTCTTACTGTAAGAAAGGCACAGGTGATGTGAAAAATTTATCATGTACACACATAATTTTTCCAGAACTACTAGCCTTATTCTCCTTCGAACCAGATCAGTAATAAAACTTTTACGTAAATTTTATAAAGCGTTACATGTAATACCCATCTATCCACCCTCTCGAACATTGAGAACATTTTGAATAACGCGTATAAGGAACGAGTGCTTCTTTTGGTCCTTTTATAACGTCAAAATTTGCGAGCAAAGCATCGAATTCAGTCACAGATGTTGAACCTTATTTCCCCGCTTCCGTTTGCTCAGGTAAACGTAGACATGTAATTGATTGAAAAGCTCTTATCCAGTATTTGAAACATTTATGAAAGCACAGTGCCGAAACAACATAAATAAATGGACTCATCACTGCATTTAGTAGCCAAGCCAGTTGTGCAACAAGAAGAAACTGTTCTTCAATGATTTTAGATTTGTATAATGATAAGATGTAGCACACAAGAAAAAGAAAAGCTGATGACATGTACACGATAAGAATTAATGACGTCACAAGGGACATCTTGATTATGTTGTGTTCGATATTGTGTTTACTCAATGTGTGCTTGAGAAGATGTATCTTCTTTACATGGAAAATAATAATGAGAAGGACAGGAACAATAATAAGGTAAACACGAAATACTATTATCACATAACTAGGTGTCTGTATTCCTGCTTTGTATCGTAGAACAAAATAAAATGTCGAGAATAATATGCTTAGGACCCATATTGCAGCAGATGAGACGATAATTGTTCGCTTCCGTAACTGATTGAATTTCATGGGCTCCGACACCATGTAACACCGAAGTCCAAATAGAAAAACCACGTGAGCAGCAGAGGCATGGGCAACACCGTAAAAAACAACCAGAAATGTTGCACATGGGACTTCTTCAAGACGAAAGTTACCAAACTTAAATCCAGCATGAACAAGGTAAAGTATCAAATTCACAATATCTGTGAATATTATGGTTCTAATAACAACAAATACAGTACCTTGGAATTTTTTGTCCCACGTAATCTTCACAAGTGTGAGTACATTTCCCACAATTCCAATCACTGTTATTGTAACGACTAGAACAAAGTGATCCGGATGTAGATAAATAGGCACATCTCGTTTTATCTCTTCATTGTAATCTGTTTCGTTTCGAGTTGTTAAGAAATCCATTATAAAGCCCGTTATTCCAAGTGTACTATTTACACTGAAATGGGAATACAAATGAAAAATTTCAGTTTTTAAGAAATATTCGAATACAAAGAATTAATAATAACATTTAATATTTTTCCATTCAACAATTTTCATTAAACATTACATGTATTTAAAGGGGAAGAATGAACACTTAAACCAAATGATGCATACATTTTCTTTAAAAAATTAACCTACCCATCAAATCCAAACATTTTTTCTGTTGTCATAAAGTGTTGATATCATTCACTTCCCATTAAATGTACCAATGTTTTGCATCATATACCAGACAGCTCTATCGCAGATTAACGCTCCCCGATGCACGTTTTACACGTGGTATTTACCAATGTCTTATCATCTGCATCAAAATAGTAAAGAGTTAGACTAAAATAAACCCAGATCAATTTCTTATTTCAACTTGCCTTTGTTTATCAGTCAGGATGACTTCACTTTTAGTGGAAAAAGTGAAATCTGGCAATATCGGCATGTGTTAACAGTACATCAATGTCTTCTTTATTCGTAAGTATCTGCGAGATGAATGGACAGTAATGTTAATGTAATGTACAGCTAAAATGTTAAAGGTGCATTTAGTTATATGTATTGCCAACGGGACAACTGTTTGATGTCATAATCAATGATAACAAATATGCAAGAATATTGTAGGCATGTCTGACCCAAAGGTCATATGCATATCTTACAATGCATTAAACTATAAATCAGTAACTTTTATTTTGATTTTAATTTAAAGAGATTGCAAAATACTTAACGACTTTAATATGAAAAAGGAATAATCTTTTTTACAATAAAGTTTTCTCATTGGTATAAGAATTTAAAAGAAGTCAAATTAGGATAAAAATGACTTTAATGGACGTAAAAATATTTCAACATCACTGGCAATAAAAGATTTCTTAATCATTTTTTACTCGCATAATTCACTCTGTCAGTCAAACTAAAATTCATGAGCACTCCAGACTCCTTCTATATGTATGATGAAATAATAAAGGTATTTAAAGTCAAATATTTTTTAATTAAAATCCTTTTCTTCCACTCCTGGACTGCATTAAAGTGACCAGTGCCCTAAAAAAAAATACGGTAGTAAACTTAAGCAAATATAGTACATACCTCAATACCTTGATTTTTTATTCATTTGCTCTAGGTCGCGGTGTAAAGAGTTGACCCTTACGTCGCGGGTTCGAACCCAACTGCGGGATGTGGAGACCGGTCCTTCGGATAAGACGATGTAAACCGAGGTCCCGTGTCGCAGTAGGTGCTGGCATGAAAAAGATCCCTCACTGTTCAATAGCCATTAGTGCCCAGTATAGGTCTAAATTTGCAGTCCACCTCTGGCAAGGGGTGGCGTCTCCATATGTGTGCAAAATTCTCGAGAATGACGTTAAACAACAAACAAACAAACAATTATAGTGAAGCATTTATACCTTACTCTCAAACTTTGATCCAACTATGATATTTTTAAGCTTTCCTATGACACTTATATTGACTATGAAACTTAACATTTTTTCCTGTACATAATTTACAATTATATGTCTTAAATTCGAAATGAACGATGCTAAACTTTAAAAAATAGTCAAATATTTTTAAATAGCCAACATATTTAGATTATATTTCCTTTTCAAGACCGCATTTGAAAATTAGACTAAATTATACAAAATTTTGAGTTTTGAGGTAAAAATATTCGATTGATTACACAGGCACTTGGGACATGGACCCCCTCTCCCATTTTCAATCACCAAAAAGTGAACTTGTCCAGACACATATAAGGTTTTTCAGGCCAAAATGACTTCAGATTGTAAAGACTGGGTAAAAAAAGGAATTTTGATTTTCTCTTTTTGATTTGGATTGTGTTATATGTAATTGAGTTTTTCTTTCTTTTTTAAATTTAATATCGACACACTTTTTTCCCTATTCGTGTATTCTAAAACGCATTACATGTTATTTGTAATACAGCCCTTTTGTATCTCTAAGTTGTTTTTATATATCTCGTTTTTTGACTGATAAATATGAATCAGTAGAAAACAAGATTTTAAAACAGCTCTTAAAGGCAAAGTTTTAAATTAATCGAGAACACTTAATTCAAATTAGAATACATGAATAGGCAAAAGGTGTATCGATTCCAGAATTTTAAGAAAATGGAAATGAGGAGGGGGCTGAGTGTCTGTGATTGATTATAGAAGAACTTTGATTAACTCTAGCAAAAATTCTGATTTGCTAAAGTAGAAACCTTCATACATTGGTTTACCACAGTAAAAAAAAATCGATGTTCTGATTTTCTACCCTTCACCATTGTTTACTGTAATAAACCACACTTTACTGTTACATTTTTAAACTACAGTTAACCAAAGTATTTCTACGATGAGTTTGAGCCCTGTATATCTGAATTTTGTTGGGTCAAGTGTTTTTTCCACGGGGTGGGTATTTATTGGTCATGTTGGAATGGACATACTTCTGAGCATCTAGCAGGCAAATTATTGGCAAACTGAAATGAGGAAGAATCCCTCTACAAAACTTGTGAAATTCTTGAATTTTGCATAGAGTCTAGGTCATAGTGCTACATGTATGTTACAATGTACTTTGAAAATTTTTTTAAAGTGCGTTAAATTGGGGACCAAGTTAACGCACTTTGAAAAAAAATTATACCATTTCAAATTGCGTTAATATCGACCATAATACCGCACCTTGAAAAACAAAGTGCACGGCTTGGTCAATATTTTTGCAAATTTTAGGTATGATAAATAATTATTTGAACCTGGTAAGATAACTTTTCGGTGATGACGTCACTTCAGGATCTGAAATATAGGCCTTTTAAAGATTTTAGGGCTTGTCTCGTTCCCAAAGGTTCTCGTAAATGTTATAAAAAGGATATGGGTTTTTTAAAGAAATAATGGAGGAATGATTATTTAATAGCACAGTTTCGTTTCTTTTTTAATTTATCTAGTCTGTTATAAGTTTGGTAGATGTAGGGGTCGATAAGTGACTTAAAGCATCGCATTTTTCTTAGGGTAAAGAGAGCAGTTATGATTTTTCCGTACCGTGAAAACTCTCCTCTCTCTCTCTCTCTAAAAGAACTACAATCCAGTGCTAAGGATTTCCTTATATTCTTACTGTATTTAGAATTTGGTATTTTTTTTTCAAATATAACCCTTAGGGGTACGAGAAATGTGACAAAATGAGGACCAATTTTATTTGCTAATTGAAAATAATTTTCCCGCACAATATGATGGTCTTTTAGAGTTATTTGATAAGTATTAAGAAATATGAAAAAAAAAATGTTTATTCCCGCTCAATGTGATGGCCTTTTTAAAGTTATAGGTACAATGTATCTGATTTGTACTAACATGTATGAAAACTTTATTGATGCTTTTTGTATTTGATTTGTAAAGCTACTTTGTCCAAAGTACAGTCAGTTGGCTATTGCTGCTTAGATCAGCAATATGGCCCCTGAGCCTCTCTTCTTTAATATGGAGAGTTTTTTCCCCTCAGGAAAGCTTATCTCAATTTTCTCATCTATTCTACGTTAACTCAAATTTATTGAGAGAAAGTATATTAATGTCATACCAGTTATGTTAATACATATATATAGGTAGGAAAGATCTGGGCACAGGGACCTTCTACCTGTCTTCTCGTTCCCGATAAGGGTAGATCAATTCATCAAAAGAAATTTAACAAAATAATGCTGTCTTTTTTCTAAAATCTAATTCCACAATTATTGTTTTATACATTTTTTATACACTTTTTTTCAAAGTGCGTATTTTTTTCAAACTGCGTTGACACAGTGCTATGCCTATTTTATCACATACTAAAATTGTATTATATTTTAATTTAGAAATTATTTTGTTTTAATCTGATGTCGATGGACAAAATATTTACAGTACTACACAAAACATTAAAGCCAGCTACTCAACTTTAAGAACATATATTACCTAGGAATTCGGCGTTTTGATATAAATCATGGTCTTAAAGGTGCTTAGACACAGATTTGAAGTTAATATTTTCTCAAATTTTCTGTATAATATCACGACTTATATATTGCAATAGCATTTCACACGAAAATATAATTAAAAACTTATTTTATCTGGAAATTTTTGGAACTACGAATTCCTGGACGCGTTTTATTTACACATCCTTGCACTTTCACAAATTTTATCTTTATCCCTAACATTTAAGAAAAGAAGCGATTTTGTTGTGTATTAATGAAAAAACATTACATCTATAATCCAGAAAGTTCAGAGTAGAAATGTGCGAAAGCAAACCCTCTCACTAATATCGTCAGCCCGTGCTCAGTGTTGTGTACAGAGTTTAACAAATTGAACACACCCGTGAAACGTAAACTGTTTCTGTAAACAGGGCACGAGCTCTGTTATTGTTAATGTTTACGATTCACCGGGTGTGTTCAATTGTTAAAGTCTGCACACACCACTGAGCACGGACTGACAATACTGTGAGTGGGTTTTGCTTTCGAACATTTCTACTCTGAATTTTCTGGATTATAGTTTAAATATTTTTCATTAATACACAACAAAATCGCCACTTTTCTTAAGTATTAAGAATAAAATTAAAATTTGTGAAAGTGCAAGGATGTGTCAATCAAACGCGTTCAGAAATTTGAAGTTACAATAACTACGAGATGAAATAAGATTATTATTTTTTAGTATGAAATGCTATGGCAACATATAAGTCATGAAATTTTACAGAAAATTTGAGAAAATATTAACTTCAAATCTGTGTCCAAGCACCTTTAAGGATAAAATTATGGAGACATTAAAAGCACAACTTTGGCAGAGATAGTTTATGGTCTTAAAGTATAAACAGGGTAAAGATCATTTCGGATTTGAAATGTGATTTTTAACCCCATGAAGTGGTTGTTGGGTCACATTCGAAGCTCATACAAATATAACTTTAGCTTTCAATGCATTGGAAGTGTAATTTTATGGAACATTTGTCTATTTTACGACTGTGTGTCGTTATGTGATAACTTTCAAATGCTATTATATTTCACCCAGTTTCTGTCTCGAAAAAAGCTCAATATTTTTACAGAAATAATTTACCTTTTGCTTTCACATGAATCATCTCGGTTATGAAGTAATATTCTGTTTTGAACGGATTATGATGAAATGCACACTTTGGGGAAGGCATTGGGGAATTTGTTTGTCTGCTAAGATATTTATGTAACTAAAGACATTTACACGTCTATAAAGCCTAAACACTATACAAGAATAGCAATGTAAAGTTTTTAAACAACAGTTTCAATTATATTCAGTGTATTTTATTTTTTTCCTTTCTCCTAAATTGTACTGCTGTCTGCATAAAAAAAAGCTGTAATAAGGCTTACTTTTATTGAAAGTTAGCAGAGTAACAGGGTGATTGTGTTACAAGGTGTAACAGTATAATTTTTTTCCATTACTTATTGTTCCTTTTAAAATACTGTTTCTTAGGCTTAAAGGGTATGGGAGCGTAGAACTATCTTTACTTTCAAAATTAAAAAATTGGAATAACGTAATGGTGGCATAAATTCAGCTTAAATGTATTCATGCTATATTTTTTCGACGGAAATCAGTTGAATGATCCTTTAATCCTTCCCCTACGTCCTACGCCTTTTATATTTTGTAGGTCTGTGCTTCAAGTGCCCAACCCATGATCAAATTCAGCATGCATGCACCTGTTTCTGATTACTAAAACATTACAATATTTCGTTTATTTCATCATAGTTAGACATGGGTTATCCAATGATATTACCGGTCTGCATTTGTGTTGTGTCATACATACTCACTGTCATGTCTACAAATAAGAATTATATATCACCATATGATGACTTCTGAATAATTATTGAATGTATTACTCTTATTGCTCTGTCAAAGATGTATTCTTTACACACTAATCTTTTTTTCTTTTGCATGGTATGCTTATTGAGGATATTTGATATCAACTCTTTAAATTTTGTTTGTTAGATATATATACATGTTTAATTTTTAATAATATTTATGTCATATTTTTTTTTTGTCATTGATATGAATACAGAACAAAACATGTATGCGTCTTACTCTTCAATAAAGCGAAGCAATCCTGGGAGTTACACATGTCATCTTTACAACATGAATCACATACAATTACTCCACCGTCATTAGACACGGATCGACCAGCATGTTGATTATTGTGATAATGATGATAATTCTTAGCAAACGCTTGGCAAGTCTAAATGAAAATACATGTAATGTTATCACAAAGAAAGAGATAAAAAGTATCCATGAATTTTATTTTTGTTTTAAAAGTAGAATTTCTAATGAAGACATATTTAGTTTATTCAATTAATGGCTATTCAAATGTTGAAGCTATACATTAATGTCGAACAAAGAATTTATTTTAATCTTCCTAAAAAATATACACAGACATTGTGTTTTCACCCCATACGTGTGCTTAACATGTCATATGTCGTTTTTCTTGAGCGGATTTCAATGCAAGGCGTAAAATGATTGCACTGCTCAAGTTTGATTTTTATTTGGATCTGGTTTCAAAAGTGAGTGAAGGAAAAAGTTTTCTTAAACCTCTGGAACACAAAACATCTCTCAAATCAGTGAACTTAAAATCTTATGTCTAAATCAAAATGTGTATTGGGACAAAAAGAAATTATCCTTTAGTTAAGAGATCGTAAGTTTTTCTAATTTCCATTTTGTGATTTTGGCATAAGAAGGGCTCTTATCTATATAAATGAGACAAGGTTTGCAGAGCTAAATTCTGTTTGAATAGCCTCCATTTGTGATACAGATATATACAGGTTTATATCAAACTTACAAATGTAGATCATCTAAGAATACATATAACCTAGATAACAAACCTTCTCTTCTTCACAACCATACACGTACTGAAGGGATGATGAACCAGTAATGCGTACTCCATTGTAACATGTCTACACAGGAAAAAGATAATTTTTTTTTTTGCTTAGTTATATATACTTTACGGTTTTTAACATCAAATGGACAATTAATCTTATAAAAAAAAAAACCATAATCATTTGTTGTCCTTTTTTCAATTTTTGACATTTTAAATTTCTATGAGGTATATAAAATTCCTTATCTACATTTTTATTATGTGGAATGTCTTGATGCAGGTAAAGTGATTGTTAATTTAAAGAATTTATGAGAACCTTTCTGATTGAGGAACTGTATAGAGTGATAAGACATGTTGTTGAATGTGATTAATTGATAGAATTTGAACATGTACTATGTAAGCAGCAATTGTTCTCATCATACCAAGAAAGGATAAAGAACACAGGGGATAGTTGCTATTATTGGCAATTTGGTCAAAACACTCCTTAAACTTGATATGTATATTTTTATTTTTTTACCTGATTTTGAGGGCAAATCGCCGAGGATTGACAATCAGCTCTAGAGGCCTGCAGGCCATCACACACCAAGCATCGTGGGGCAGAACCTGTAAGATGTTAGTTTTATTGATGGATAATTGCACAAAATAACACTGAAGAAATTAAGTCATATTGAGACTTCATCTTTGTCAAAATATTGTGTCATTGTACACATAACCATTACTGCTAAATTGAATTAATTGAAACTTTAAAATCACTTGTTACTGGACTATAATTAAATCAGGTATGTGCAAAATAAAAACATTCATTTTTCAGAACTCCTAAGAATTCTTTTTTCCCTAGAAGACACTTGAACATTAAGAACTTAGAACAATTTAAAAAAAACTTCGAGTACCTATCCCTAAAAAATTGTTTATTAGATTTGGGATATGTACAAATGATTGAGTAGAATGACTTTCAATATTATCAGTTTATCAAAATCGTGTATAGTTAAGATAGCAAAGTCGACAACATGTATAAAAAAAGGAATTATGAATACATTTTGAATATTGGAGAAAAGTTTAAAAAAATAATTTGTATAGGTATCACATTTCAATAATACTTAACAGCTAGTTACATAACATAATTTTATATTTACAAACGAACAAATCAGTATTTCCTTTATGAGTTAGAGAGAGTTACAGGTTAAAAAAAAATTCCGTGCTGGTTAGCACGACTATATTCTCCTTCACTCCTAGACTTTGACTGAATAGCGACTACTGTATACAGGGAAATTTAATTTTCACCCCTTTCGCCCTACTCACAGGCGGGCGAATTTAGAATGGTTCGAATTCAAAGAATACAGTATAATTTCTTCAACAGAAATGTGACTGGGCGAAATTAAAACGGGACAAAATTGGTTGCAAGTGTGAAAGGGTGAAAATAACGTGGGCTGAAAATAATCCTGTATACAGTATTATGCATTAGACTTCATCGTATAATGAGCACAAAAAAAAAAAAAAAAAAAAAAAAAAAAAAAAAAAAAAATCCCAACTTCTACGAAATGTTACCTCAAATACTATGGTCAAAGTGCACAATAACAGATTAATTATTTTTAGCAAATTCTGTAACATTGTGGCCATGCTTTAATTCCAATATTTCATCATGCACAAAGGACTCCTCTTAAATTCATCTTAGAACGGATCTTGCAAAGTCTTTACGTTTGGGGAAACCCTAAGATGTATCTGAAGTAGGGACAGATTTGGTGGTGTCACTTTGGAGTTAGATCTCTCATAGATATTTCTCAGTCCTAAGGTGACTTCAGTAACATCCTGTTGAATTTCATTGTTTCGTTGATAACTATAATATATGAGCAAATAGAGCAAATAACAAATACTGTTTTCAATTCTTACTTTCACCACATAATCGTGTATTACAAGGTCCATTACTGTCTGGGGGATCACTGCAACATTCGGCACAATTCACCAAATCCCTTTTGCCAATCTTTGGTCCAAATGAACTCATCAAGTTGCATACCTTAAGCGTAATACCAGAATGCCAGGTATTATTTTACATTACCGATTATCAAATATACCGCATGCGATATTCAGTCATTTCCCTTTATAATATTTCATATTGCTGTAGCCAAGTAAATGCTTAATTATGAAATTGAATAAATGATTATTCATGCCCGAAGGTCTAAACATACCGCTCTGCTCCTACACCCAGCATTGAATTTCACTCTACGATCTGGTGTAGTAACTGATTCAAAATAACATTCCTAAAATATTACACTGCACGTACATTAAAAAATACAGAAAACAGTATTGACCTGCTAAATTTTGTATAAGATAATAGACAGTGATGAAACATTGTTCATTTTCAGTCACAGGGAATAGAACTACATGCATAAGTAAGACATACTGATGTCAATAGGACGTCTATAATCTATTATATTCGAGATGGTAAATATTTTTTTTTACATTGTAATGGACTTTCTGTGTTACTGGATCAGAGTAAGCAGTTATAATTACCTCATTGTGCTGGCATTCCACTGCTGTTTTCTTGCATTCATGAACAGAAAGTGCATGGTGACAATTCATACACTTCAGTCCAGTTCCTGCCGAAGGTGACATGGTGGTAGCTGTGAAAAATTATACGTGATACACATTCAATGATGGATTTAAAGATCAATTTTCTTTCACAAGTTCTTCTAAAAGAATATGGTGACTAGCATAGAAATTTACCATCGATTTGTATGACCTCTTTATCCCCTTGAAACGAAATATTTAAAGCGCTTTTTGGTATGTGCATGAGTAAGTTAGTGAGTGCGTTTAAGTAACAATTTAATTGGGATCCATGTCATTTGTTGGCTCTTACAAGAAGAAGCGCTTTGCATTGCCCTTGTTTACATGTAATTAATGTACATCTAATAATAACATGAATAAGCATCCCTCTTACTATTCAACTTTGAACAGTTCTCAACTATATTGATACAGTATCAGCGTTAAGATGTCTTCTCTATTTGTCATGCATATTTTATATAAGTTATAGAAAATTTATGTAATTATTCATGCATTAGTGAAGGCTTCATTCCGAATTGTTATTTTCAAGTAACTGTGTTTCCATTAATATTTTCTAAAAATATTAAACAGAAAAATATGTCCACGTGACAAGTCTGTGTGCTGATTTATACACCATATGCAGTAATATTCACAACCTAATAAAAATCCCTATATTTCAATTTTACGTTTAAAACAAACAAAAATACACCTAAGATCTTAATTTTTTGCTGCTCTTTATATCGTTATTCTTTTATTGGTAGCCTCAGTTTGACGTTTATTTAGCGCACGTTTCTTCGTGTATATTTAAACGAAAATTGAATTCAAATCAATTTCATTGTTGGTTCCGTAAAAATAACACAGCAAATGTAAATAATCGAAAATATAACTCTCTTGCAAAATCTTTAATGTTGAAGAACATTTACTTTTTTTAACTTTTATAAATCAAAATTACATCGAACTAAGACCAAAAAAGGTTTGTCAGCGAATAATTCCAGAAAAGAGTCTGATATGTAAAATGAATTGGAACATATTTGTTAAAAAATGTATGAAATATACTGTAGATTAAATTAAACGTTAAATTTAAGCTTTTTTTCTATAAAAGATTATTTAAAAAAGTTATAAAAGGTGATAAAAATTTGAGTCTTTCGATTCAAGGTTAAAAAGAAATGGGTCGCACTTACATAAGAACAAAATAAAAGGATATAAAACTTCGAACCTTTTGATTTCAGGAGTCAACACTAAAAAGAAATGGGTCGCACGTACTTGAAACAATAGTTACAACAAAACACTACCTTGTTTTCTCAACCCAAAAAGCTGAAAAAATGTCGATTCTAGTAAAACATATAAAGTGCGTGACTTACCAAGAGGACGCTGACCACACAGTCTTGCATTACAAGGTTCCGAAGCTCCAGGAGACGTAAGGCAGCATTGAGCACAGTTCACCAAATCTCTTCGTCTTCCATTCAGAGCCGCCATGATATCACAAACCTTAATTACATTATTACATTTAAAAATAACATTAAAACATTAACATTATTTTCGATTATAACATTCTTTCCGTTCATGCAAAATATTGTAATTATATATGTGCATATATTAAATTACAACTTAATTTATTTATCTTATTTAAATTGCAACTTATAACCATAGCCTTAAAATGCTTAATAAGCAGAAATAACTTTTAATTAAAATAATAAAAGAAAAGATATCAATTATCAAAATTAGATAAAAATAATTATCTTTCTTACCTGTTTACTTCTACAACCGGCATTAGAAATAACTTGCAGGTCTGCTTTCGTGACTCTTTCGAGGAAGCATTCCTTAAAATCAGGCCTTATATTAGAATTGTATGTTTATGTTTCATCGTGTTGTAAAGTAACACTCGAGTTATACAGAATTATAAGTGTTTTGATGTACATATAAGGCTTATACATGTGTACCCTTCATTTTTCTCTTTGAATAGAAGGTGATGTGAATACTAATGTAATGTACAAGATATGCAAGCTGCCATTTCCAAGATATTGTAATTTTTAGTTAATAACTTTGCGTATATTTCGATAGACATAAAATATTGATATATATATACAAACCCCTCTGTAAAAATTATGGTGATTCTGAAAATCACTTATTACTTAAAAACGTTTTCATTCGGAAATGAAGACTGAATGCTAGGTTTTTGGTTTTTTTTTAAAAAAAAATTTCAAAATGCAGTTTGGCGACTCTGTCGATATATGGAATAAAAAAAATGCTTGAGCAGCAGAACTTATATATATACAGTTTACAGAAACAATCTGGTATGCATAGGGTCCTGCGACTTGGAAGTGTGGTGGTCCAGGAAGTTTCACTGATTCGTCGAAAAGGTGTCACTTGTAAATTGTATACATCCAAGATTTTCCAATGATAAATAGCCATGATAACTTTTGATACCAAGTTCAAAGCGTGTGTAATACATGTTTTTCGACACAAGTTCGATATTACTGATATTTTTTTTTTCTAATTAATCTTCTAACAAACCTGAAGTATATATATGTTTTTACTTACATAACATATTTACATTTACTTACAATTGTCAAATATATGCAAAATTACGGACCATATAAAAATAAAAAAGTATTTATCTTTACCTATGCATGTAAGGCCTACGTGTATTATGTTACATGTATATAAAAGGAGTGACTAATTATTTATTAAACAATTATGTCTACCATTATTTCTGTTTATCCACAACAGATAAGTTGATAAAAATGAAAAGTACCTCCCCATCTCCACATGTTGTTGTTGTGTTGCACAATTGCATGTTCAAAACGCCATTGCAAGTAAAACAATTCGTGCCGACAGAAGTTACAACTGTAGAAAAAGTGATATCTATTACTATCAGAGCAGAAAGGAGATGCCCAAAATTTCATTACTTTTTTTTTTAAAGTTATATTACAGTTGTTTTCAAATTAAAGTACATTGTTCTTAACAGCAAGATGTGCTGTGTAGCATAGAAGTAATTCTTCACAAATCGAATTATGAAGTTCTTGTCGCGCTTTGAAGATTTCTTTATCAACCTTTCACACCCAAAGATGGACCTACTTCACTAATTTTTTTTTTTGAAAAACCAAACATTAATTTGTACACGTCTGTCAAATTAACGGAAGAGTAAAGTTCACTACACTTGTGTTACAACTTGCACATGGTCTTATTTGTTATTGTCATATCAAAATATAAAGTGTTAAAACTCCTTATTTATACACAAATTATGAAATGTATTTAGGTGTTTGAATATAATTTAAGGCACCTTCTTTGATTGATTTATTTTCTTGCCTTAAAATATCGACTTAGAAAATATTGATTTTAAAAAATATTTACATGTATCAAAGCAAGAGATTAAATCATATCGATACAGTAAAGTCAGTTTTAACAATAAATATACAACAATATCGATATAAATATATTAATATTTCCTGAAAAAAGTGAGAAAATATTGTTAATGAATCAACATCGCAGGAGCGGTAATTATAATTAAACGTTACTAGGAATTCGGAGACAGCACTTGTATCATGTATTTGCTAGCGTATACGATTATAGTGTGTTAGATAATTTATTTATGAAATTCAGAAATCTTTTGAGGAAGGAGGATGGGGAGATATCAGCAGATACATTGTACATGTAGATAATAGGCTTAGTCATAGGGGCTACTTGTCCCGAAAGTAATAGAGAACACTTTTAGATGGATTATCAAGTGTCTTTTGTTTTATTGTTTTGCTTGTCAAATACCAGAATTTTATTCGATTAACACCACTCCTTTTTTTCTTTGTGATTACACTTATGCGGCAGAATTGATATTATATCATTTTACGCAATAAGAAGTTAAATCTGATCTGCTGATATTGACATTTTATCTGATATTCTGGTTGATTCACTAATTATATTTTTTGAAGGGGAGGGTTGTCAAGAGTGTGGAGGTTCATGTCTATGTTGCGGATCCTATATGTTTACCACATGGTGACAAAACATCAACATTTACAGAGTTTACATATAGCCAGTGTCATTTTATAATTTTATTACTTTTGATGCATATACAAATAGGCCTAGTACTACATGTATCTATAAACAGAATTTGAAACCGGTGGGAGGGGGCGCCTGTTGTTAATTATATAACTAATCACTATACTTATAATGGATATTTTGAAAGCATATATAATTTTAATATCAAATTGATATTTGCTTTACCGGAGACAATCTAACTACTCATGAATCCCCTCACCCCCTTCTTCAAAACTTTTTGAGTCTTTCTATAATATTTCAAACTTTACACATGGTACATTTGCCGTCACTTAATACCGAGTGATTTGACGTTTCATTAGAATTCCCGAGCCAAAATTAGTTCGAGAACAATATTTGAAAATCACACTTTTCTCCCAGAAATACTAGCATATTTAAATCGATATAACTACTATGCATGTATTTTTTATTGTTGCATGTCGAGATTACTACATCGATATATTTAATTCTCCTGCTTAGATTAATATCTTCAAATCAATATTTTTTAAGTCGATAAAACATATAGCAATAAAATCAATCAAATAAATGAAAATGCCTTAAACTATGTAAAAACACCTTAATACAATACAAAATAAGTATATAAATAACAAATTATAACACTTTATATGTTGACAAGACACCAAAAATAAGACAAGGAACAAGTTATAACACAACAAGTGTAGAGACCTTTACGCTTCCGTACTAATATTATAGGAAATTAAACAATTTATGTCCGGGAAGGTGAAAATAATAAAACTACATTTTATATATAATGACTCAAAGAAATCGTAGATCTTTTTAATCAATATAAAAAGACTTAAGAGATTTCATCTTCAAGGGAATTGCACATTACAAAATACTCTACTTTACTTTTAAAAATAAGGATATTATTAAATAGAGGAAAAAGAAAAGCAAAGGTGTACACTGGATTACGTATAAAAAGCCTTTACATTCATTACAAGAAATGACAATAATTTTAGAATTTTGTTGTGTTAATTTTTACAAAGATAGCCAGTCCTAAGTTTTAAGTATATTTCCTTAAATTAACGCGAAAATGTTGGAATTGTAAGAACATAACACGTTAGGAGTATTTTAAATGAATTACCTCCAATAATCTCCCATAGAAAAAACCCTGTAATACATTAAAATATATATAACGATTCTACAACATATCTAAAAATTAAGCGTTTGTCTCAATAAAATTGAATCATCTTAAACATAAATTAGTCAAAATCTAATGTATGTTTAACTTTTTCTTCCACAACTCACTTTCAAATTGAGTTTAGCCATTTAAATATTGGACAAGAAAATTAAAGAATAATGATAAATGTAAGTAAAGGACAAGTTTTTGATAAGGGTTGGGATATTTAGATTTCTCAACATAAGATAAAAGAGCATGATAAAGTGAATGAATTACAGCTATCTATTCAAAGTTAAATAATTTGGAGTAGAGAGGTTATAAATCGTAGGGATTCCTAGTCTCTGAACTTTCTGACACATCATACTTACATTTTATTTGTGCAGCAACCATTTCCCATTAAAATATATACCTCGCTTTGACAAACACCCAGTCAACCGGATCTGCAAATTTAATGGTGGGATAAAAGTATCATGCATGAGAGTAATATTTATTCTTTTAAAGTGTTTGTGTTTACATTTAATATCAATATTCTCACCTTTTATTAATTAATCCTATGACGTTTCATTCAATTTTATCCCTTCATCACCGCTGAGAATGTTATTGTAATTTAAATTCAAGAAACATGGGTCGCTCCTGACCCATTCGACAAAGAATTCCGGCAGTATTGAATTCATGCCTGTGCAAAATTCTTAATAGTAGTTTAGACAACCGTGTTAAAGGTTTGAGAGTTTTGTGAAAATCGTTTGACAATAGTTTGCGATTACCTTGAAGGGTCCTAAATGAATAGGATCCTAAATTGGTTGTATTTTCTGTTGAGCTGGTGCATTTGGTTATATTGTGAGCTCACTTCATCATTACATGTATACATAGTGTTTTTAACATAGTAGCTTACAGTAACTGATATGAAACTGACAAATCCCAGAGAAAATACAAAGTCATATGCAATGAAGAAGCAACTTCAGCAGTATACTATTCAACAACATATTCAAGAATAAATGTTTATCAAATGTGGATACAAAAAAAAAAAACTCCAAAAAACTTTTAAAATTTTAAAATTGCAAAGTTTTGCCGAAATCAGTACGATCAAAAGGTATGACCTTTCAACACTTTAATAAATTAAAGACCAGTTTTTTGACATCGGGATAAAATGGAACTCCGAAATCTAACAATCTCAAATTCTTTCAACAATCTGCTGGACGGACTTCCCATGGTAACTATAGTAATTGTTCACCTTTATAAGCAGACCTGTTTTTGTATTCTTAGAAAGCAGAGTTTATTCTAAAATTTCTACTTGAAAAGTAGAAGT